TGAGTGGTGCGCTGCCTGGTTGTTCTACGTACTATGTAGTGGTCGCTCCTGTTGTATTAACCACTATGTTGAGTGGTCCCGTGCTCTGCTTGTCTACTACTTATTGTGAGTGGCACTACCTGCCTGCTTGTCTACTACTATGTGAGTGGTCCCTGCCTGCTTGTCTACTACTATGTGAGTGGTCCCTGCCTGCTTGATTAACCACTATGTGAGTGGTCCCTGCCTGCTTGTCTTGACTGACTGATGGTGGAGTGTCCCTGCCTGTTGTCGTACTACTTTTGAGGTGGCTCCGTGCGCGTGTCTACTGACTATGTGAGTCGGTCCTGCCGTGGACGTCTGACTGCCATGTGAGTGGTCCTGGCCTGCTGATTAACCACTATGTGAAGTGGTCCGCTGCCTGCTTGTCTTAGCTAGAGCTATGTGAGTGTGTCCCTGCCTGCTTGTCTACTACTATGATGGTCCCTGCGCTGCTGATTAACCGACTATGTGGAGTGGTCGCTGCCTGCTTGTCTACTACTATGTGAGTGGTATCGACTATGTGAGTGGTCCCTGCCTGCTTGTCTACTACTATGTGAGTGGTCCCTGCCTGCTTGTCTACTACTATGTGAGTGGTCCCTGCCTGCTTGTCTACCATTATGTGAGTGACCCCTGCTTGCTTGACCACAGCCGGCTGCTGACTATTCTAGCCGGAATACATCCAGCAGAGCTCTACCGTTACCCAACGCGCATCATCACGCACGCGTACATTGGTTCGTATGTGCTTGCCCGTGCACAAAGAAGAGCGCCAGTTAATAAAACACCATCGATTTTGTATACAGAATGGCTCGCCTCCTAATTCAAGTGTTAACCGAGATTTAGCCGCTATGTACTGGAGCACTAGGGTCGGGAAGGCACCAGCTGCGGGCGACTAGGGCGCCCTTTACGCTCCTGGCGGCGGAGATCCGTGTATATGTACATGTAATCGTTAATAGTTTGCGTGGTTTAGCAAGACAGAGCCGCAATATTCTCTTATCATAAGATGTGTCTTCTTCTGCGATTCAATTACTAAATCAGATCGACTTTACGAGCGTGTTGATAGAACGCTCGCTTTAATGTGATTAAATCTAGAAGCAATGTAAATAGGATGAAAGCCCGCAACACACATAATAATTGTGTGGTGAGCGGCTGGGACATAATAACAACCATAAATCAACAACGTAAGGCAAGGCCCTCCCCAAGGGCGCTTCGCTCACATCTTCTCTCTCTCTCTATATATATATCATTATAATGGCGACACAGCACACTCGCAGCGGCGAGTGCTTGAGCGTTCTGCATTAGTTTTTTGTGAAAGAAAGTTGATAATAGCTGCGTTCACACGAGGAGAAAGTTGCGTTCACACGCTAAAATATACGCGGCTTGCTTAGCCACGGCTTGCTTAGCCGCGAATGCTCCGGCTTGCTAAGCGCGGAATCATATTCCGCACCAACTAAGCCGCGTATATTCGGCACCACGCTGGCCGCGTATTGATTGTCATGTGAACCTAGACTGCTACCGCGCTTCGCGTGCACGGACGTTTAGGGTAGCGTGTGGAAGCTGTCGACGGGTACCGTCTATATTATCGATACCGCGCTAGCTAAGCCTCGAATCTCGTGTTATCGTGTGAACAGCATTTAACCGGACTTAGCACCAAACTAAGTCACGGTACCAGCTAAGGCCGTGTATACGTGTGAACGCAGGCTATACCGTGAAAAAAGTGGAAGTGTAATTGAGGGGTAAGTATTGTGTAATGTGCGTTCAATATTAATTTCAAGTTTTTACTGAGTAAACTCTGTCCCAAGTGCATGTGGGTGATCGAGACTCCCTGATTTTTTCCTGGTTAACCCTGTACGTGGCCTAAGCTAGCCGCACACATACATATATAACACTGAATGCGGCTCGTTAATCGATTCATAAGGACGCATGTATTGATTCAGTCGAATGTAGCACACGCTAGGTCGAAATCGGGAAACGCAGATGTGGTTTTTGTTCAGGATGCATAAAATATTATTATATATTAATTCTCATTAAAATTCATGAAATTTATATCAGTACATATCGATTCAATATTTACACGCGCTGCGCGAGAGAAAGAGGGACAACGAAAACGAGAGCGAGCGGGAGGGGGAGAGAGATAGCGCGAGCGAGATAGAGAGAGAGAGAGAGAGAGAGAGAGAGAGAGAGAGAGAGAGAGAGAGAAGAGAGAGAGAAGAGAAGGAGGAGAGAAATAAGAAGAAGAAAGGATAGAAAAGAAAGAGAAGAGTAGGAGAGGGAGGAGTGCGAAGAGGCCAAGGAGCAGAGAGAAGAAGATAGGATGGAAGAGGGGAGGAGAGAGAAGGGGGACAGCGAAGAGACGATAAGAAAAAGAAGAGAGTGGGAGGAGGGGAAGAGAAAAAAAGAGGGAGGGGGAGGAGAGGAGAAGGGAGAAATGAAGGGGAGAGATGGAGAGAGGGAGAGAGGAGAGCATGAAGAGGAGAAGGAGAGAGAGAGGGAGGGAGGGAGGAGAAGAGAGGAGGAGAGAGAGAGAGAGAGGAGAGGAGGGGGGAAAAGGGAGGAGGAGGAGAGAGGGAGAGAGAGAGGAGGAAGGGAGGAAGGGGAGGAAGCAGAAGAGGGAAGGAGGGAGAAAGGGAGGAGAGCAGAAGAGGAAAGGAGAGTGAGGAGAAGGGGAAGGAGGAGAGAAGAAGAGGAAGGAAGAAGGAAAAGAGGAAGAGAAAGGGGATAGAGAGGAAAGCGGGAAAGAGGAGAGAGGGCAGGAGGAGCAGAGAGGAAAGAGAGGAGAGGGACAGGGGAGAAGAGAGGGGAGGGAAGAGAGAGGAGAGGAGGGGAAAGGAGGGGAGAGAGAAGAGGGGGAGGGGGAGAAGAGAGGGGAGAGAGAAAGAGGGAGAGGGGAAGGGGAGGAGGAGAGGAAAAGGGAGTGAGAGCAGAGGGGGGAGCGGAAGGAAGAGAGGAAGGGAGAGGAAGGTAGAGAGGAGGGAGGGAGAAGAGAAGAGAGGGAAGAGAGAGAGAGCGGACGAAGGAGAGAGAAAGAGCGGGCGGATAGAGGGAGAGGGAGGAGGAGGAGAGAGGAGAGAGAGGAGGAGAAGAGGAGGGAGAGGATGAAGGAGGGGAGAGAGGGAGAGGTGAAAGAGGGGAAGAGAGGAGAGAGAGAGGGGGGAGGGAGGAAGAGGGAAGAGGGGAGAGAGAGAGAAGGAGGAGGAGGGAGAGGAAGGAGGAGGAGAAGGAAGGAGATGAGAGGGAGAGGGAGGAGAGGGGGAGGGGAGCAGAGAAGGAGAGGGAGGAGCGAGGAAGCGAAGAGGAGGGGAAGAGGAAGGAGAGAGGGGAGAGGGAGGGGAGAGAGGGAGGAAGGAAAAATAAGACACGAGGAGGGAGGAGGGAGGGGAGGAGGGGGATGAGAAGAGAGAGAGAGGGGGGGGGGAGGAGGAGAGAGGGACGAGAGGGAGAGGAGAGGATGAGGGAGGGCGAGAGAGGAGAGAGAGGAGGGGAGAGAGAAGGAGGAGCGGAGAGAAGGGGAGGAGAGGAGAGGGAGAGGAGGGAGGGAAGAGGGAGAGCGGGAAGGGAGAAGAGAAGAGGGGAGAGAGAGGGGAGGGGAAGAGAGAAGGGGGAGAAGAGGGGGAAAGAGGAGAGAAGAGAGAGAGGGGAGAAAGGAAGGGGAAGGAGAGAGGAGGAAGGAGAGAAGAGGGAGGAGGGCGAGAGGAAGAAAGGGAGGAGAAAGAGAATTAAAAAGAAAAAACCAAGAGGAGAATCCAGCAGAAAAGAGGAGAGAGGAAGAGAGAGGGACGAGAAGGGAGGAGGAGTGGAGAGAGAGAGAGGCGAGGAGAAGAGAGAGAGAAGCGGAGAGGGA